TCTGGCTCAATAAAAATTCCAATCACTAGATGGAAGAAACCCTAACATAATGTCCAAAGTAATGGCAATAGATATATAAACACTTTTAATAATGTAATGTGCAGTGGCATGTGTTTTAAACATGTTTCCATTTGTACAAATGTGGCCACTGAAAGTTAGGACTACTGCTGAAATCATTATCATTTCCACATGTCTGCTGTCATTGGTCCCTGAACCTAACTCTTCCAGTCAGCTGATTAGTTTAAATTATGATAATCTCGGCTTTTGTTTCCGGTTTTAAGCTGTTCTATATCAGTGATCCAGTTCCAAAAGTATCTTTATTTTCAGAAGCACATTTTGGCATGGTATAGATTCTCAGCAAGTCAGTTAAGCAGCCCTAAAACAAATTCTTGTAATCCTTTGGATGATTGTCAGGCCCAAGTAGATCCCCCAACCTCCTCCAAAACCTCATCTCACCTCGCAACGCCCCTCCTCTCTCCTTCAACCCCTCCTGTAACAACGAGTATGATCTGTGTTTGCGCTCCGTGTCTAGAGACAATAAAGGCTGCATATCGGCTGGGCTGTGGATTAGAGGGCTGCTGATTTCGAAAACAATGTTTTAACAGGAGTCCCAGCATGTGGCCTTTTATCTGACAGAGCCACAGTTCATCGTGGTCAAATCGCACAAAACCAGAGGGGAGCGGGGCTCACGGCAACAATTATCACATGAATGAACATTGTGCAGGGCACACACATGTCTATATAAACCCCCAGACTCAGACACACACACACACACACACACACACACACAAACACACCTACACACACCTACACACACACCTATACACACACACACACACACACACACACACACACACACACACACACACACACACACACACACATCAGTTCCGCTTTATCTCAGGCTTTTTAGACACTCAGTCTCTCACTCAATCATACGTGCCACTCATGACCACACAGACAAGTAGACAGAAATAGTAGACACGTGCGCACTCACCCACACACACACAAGTCTGTATTCTGTTCTTCTTGGCAGCGTGCGATCCAAAAAATGCAACTTAAGACAGTTATTCCGATGCTCACCAGCGTTTTCCTCATGCCGTATCGATTTTTGCCCACAGCCCTGAATTTAATGGGCACTTGTTTCATAACTGGAGGATTTACTTGTGAGATGTTTGGCTTGGAGGTGCCCTGTCTGCAGCACAAAAAAATGCCACAATCACCTCATTTGTCTTTTCTTGTTTTGGTTAAAAAAACAAATGGGAAAAAGGGGGAAAAAATCCCACATGCTATAAATGAGTTTTGGGAGGAGGTGGGGGTTTAGAGACAGTGACTTACATTGAGAAGCTAACAATGAATTCAATTCATTGCCTCGGTTTGGCTGCAGTACTGAAGGACAAACAAAATGAACCTGTGGTTAGTGAGAACTTCTCTTATTCTCTAACCCCGCTCCACCAGCTACAAACCACATAGAAACAGTGGGCTACATTCAGAGGAGCCTATGTCTCAGACACGTTTTACAAATACTGAACATCATGCATGCCCAGTCAAAGGCAAAACCTTACCACCCAGAAGATACAAAATCTCACTTGCTTCTAGTGGTATCTAGCCATGCAGGTAGGTTTTTTTTAGCGTCCCAGATTTTAAAATATTTTTACCTAACATTCTCTTAAATATGTTACTCTGGATAATCCATAGAACACACTTTTAAAGTCGTAGTAAAAAGTTTTTCATATCTGCTGAAACTTTCACTATATACTGACAGTAGTACATGAGACAGATAATCTGTGAAAAAATCCTCCCAGTGCTCCTAATGGCATTTGTTTAAGACGCTCCAATTAATTCAAAACGCTGCAGCACGAGTACTGACAGGAACTAGGAAAAGAGATCATATCTCTCCTGTACTAGCTTCTCTGCACTGGCTCCCTGTAAAATGTAGAATATAATTTAAAATCCTCCTCCTCACCTATAAAGCTCTTCATGGTCAGGCCCCTTCATATCTTAAAGAGCTCATAGTACCCTATTACCCCTCTAGAACACTACGTTCTCTGAATGCTGGGCTACTTGTGGTTCCTATAGTCTCTAAAAGTAGAACAGGAGCCAGAGCCTTCAGTTACCAAGCTCCTCTCCTGTGGAACCAGCTTCCAGTTGTGGTTCAGGAGGCAGACACCCTCACCACATTCAAGAGTAGGCTTAAGACGTTCCTCTATGATAAAGCTTATAGTTAGGGCTGGATCAGGTGAGTCCTGAACCATCCCTTAGTTATGCTGCTATAGGCCTAGACTATCGGGGGATTTCCCATGGTGCACTGAGCTCCTCTCCTCCTCTCTCTTTCTGCACTCATTCATGTTCCATTAATGCATATTACTAACTTCACTTCTTCCCCGGAGTTCTTGTGCTTTCTCGTCTAGCAGGTTCTCATGGATCCTGGTGGAGCCTCCTGTCATGGTCCTGCTTGACTGCCATTGCTAATATCACTGATATTAGTGTTATTATTATTATCATTATTATTATTATTATTACCACAGTTACTATTACTATTGTCACTGCTCATTGTCCCCCATCGTTACTGTTGTCGTCGTCATCATCTTCTTCATGTTCATCATCATCAGTCACTACTATTAGTGTAGTTGTTGCTACTGTTGTTGTGCAACTGTCTGTCTGTCTGTCTGTCTGTCTGTCTCTCTCTCTCTCTCTCTCTCTCTCTCTCTCTCTCTCTCTCTCTCTCTCTCTCTCTCTCTCTCTCACCCCAACTGGTCGAGACAGACGACCACCCACCTAGAGCCGGAGGATCTGTCCTAGGTTTCTGCCTCTTAACAGGCAGTTTTTCCTTGCCCTTGTCGCCAAGTGCTTGCTCATGGTGGAACTGTTGGGTCTCTGTAAATAATGTTATAAAGAGTTCGGTCTAGACCTGCTCTATTTGAAAAGTGTCCTGAGATAACTTCTGTTATGAATTGGCGCTATACAAATAAAATTGAATTGAATTGAATTTGTTAAAGTTTCAGCAAAAATGGCAAAAAGCTATTTTATAAAAGTTATCTACTGCAGCTTTAACAGTTCCCATAGGGACTAACCCACAGTGGAATTTTATAATTTATTTTACAGCACTGAATTCACAAGCTATGTTACTTTCTTATTTTCCAGGAAAACACCTCTAAGAATTCAAATCTATATAATTTTTGATACATACATATTCAGGACTATATATGCCAATTAGGAAATTATTATGTATAACATTAAAGTTATTAATTTAATATAGGAAATGAGAGTCTATATATTGAACAAAATCTGACGTCATCAAGGCACTGGCATCTTATGTTTCAGATGTGTAATATTATTACAGTGTTGCTTCAAGACAGTCATGCCCATTTAAGCTGGAAGGGCACATGCTGACTGACACTCTTTTAGTAATAATTATCTTGTATTTCACCTTGTACATGGTCATATACTTCAGTAATTAATGTTACACAACAGTGTTTGCATTGCATTGTGGTTGGATGAGACTATGATAAGCCCTGGTAACCAGATGTCTCCTTCATAAAACAGCAGAATATGGAGTTATATCCGACCAGTCTTATGTGGGTAGAGCTCTGTATGGTTATATTGTAGCAGCCTGCTGTTGTTTTCAGGCGATTTAATGCGTACGGTTGTGCGTAAAGACACTGCGCTCTGGCGCGGCATTTAAACAACTTAAAATATACGGTGAAAACGAAGGAAATGCTTTTTATACAATATAAAGCCATTGTGGTCAGCAGATACTGTAAGAATCACCCACATTCATTCATAGGTCAGTGAATGATTTACTGACTTCCTGCTTTAACCACATTAAACCTTTCGCTGCTTCCTATGCATTGTGTTTGAACACAGCTACAGTACAGTAACAGTGTGAATACTGGCCCGCATTCGCCAAGGTGTTAATTATCTCTTCATTAGTTAGGACTCTGATAGATCCCATGTAGGCTCACTCAGTCCCACACTTCTTAGCAGTAATATCCTTAATTTATAATATTAGGCTGGTATCGAAAAAACAAGATGTTGCAGTGCCATTATCACGTGACATTTCATTCCATATATTCAGACTTTCATTCCATATATTCAAGTTTCATTCCATATATTCAGACTTTCATTCCATATATCCAATTAATAATTTTCTAAATATATATGTATATTCAAAAATAAAAATGATAATCTGTTGCTTCCAGTCCAATATTGCAATTATGCACAACATGTTATAACGTATCCCTATGGGAGAAAAGGACTAACCCCTAGTGACTAACAACTAAATACAGTATGATAGAGAAATGGCTGTATCTCAAAATCTATAAGGATTTATATCACATGTTTGGTAACATTGGATTCGTCAAGTGTAAATCTGATGTTTAAAATAATTTGAAACATATTTTTGCATTTTTTAAAAAACAGAATAAACTTCGTCTACCATTGGAAGCATGATAAATATGTGTAATCAAATTATATATGTCTCAAATTATATATGTATCGTATCAAATTATATATGTCTTAACAGTTTCCATAGAAGATTTTGTGTTTCCACCTCCAACAGAAAAGATTATGTGGAGCTTTTCCTTACTTTCTGATACTAAATATAGTCGTTAATAGGAAGTAGTTCCACTGAAAACTGTCAAGAGGTCTTTGGATTTGACTAAGCAGGACAGTGTTTCTGCAAAGCCAAAAGTATCTACCTGACTACCACTTGAGGTAAGTGAGGAAATGTTTTCCTAGTTTGGCTGAATCGACCCTGTAAAATAAGGGAGGTGGTGAGATTGTACAAAACATAGCGACTGCTGGTAATACAGAGTAAAGTATCTGAAATGTGTACGAAGTAAATGCCAACATGACAACTATAAACCTCCAGACATTTGTCCTCTGTCTTACTTTATTTCCTCCAAAACATTTCAGACACTATAATGTCAAACCAGGCACTACGACTTATTCAGAAATGTTGCTTTTGAAGATGGAAGGTTTGTATTTGCAGTACTGACCTGTGGGTGCTGAGATTGTGGTGGGTGCACTGGCCCTGCGACCCCTTTCGGCAGTGATGCTGATGGTGTACAGCATGCCAGGTGTAAGGCCCCTCAGGGTGTAAGACTCTGAGGTGCCAGGGACCATGACCTCAGTCCTGTGGCCATCGGCAGATAAATACACCAGTCTGAAAGAGTCCAGTTTGGCCAGGGGGTGTTTCCACTCCAGCAACATGGTGGTCTCTGTCACCTCTGCAACGGTCAGGTCCTTGGGAGCATCCAGGGCTAAGAAGAAAATGTGAATGGTGGTTTAAAATATCATACAACAGAGGACTATCTGAGACATTTCTAACTGAATTTTTCTTTTGCTATAAGTACCAATGCACATACAATGCATGGTATTAATTCAACCCATAGCTCTGGCACACTAGCTTTGTTTACATCCACATTTTATTAAATTATTAAGACAAGAAGAACTGAGAAGTTAGCTGAAGCAGTGGAAGCCAGAGTGGCTGCACAGTCAAATAATTACCATACTGAATAACTACAGATAAGGTGAAAAAGTAATTTGATTGAATGAACTTGAACTTTTAACAAACTCAAAGATCCAGAAGAACCACTTCAACCTTGGGATGAAAAAATCTACTACCAAATTTGGAGGTTCAGCAAAAACAAAGAGGAAATTAAATCTTTTCTGCATTAAAAGAGTGGAAACCATGAAAATATCACAATATTAAAGGTCCAGTGTGAAACATCTTTTGGCAGAAATGGAATAAAATATTCATATAAAAGTATGTTTTCATTAGCCATTTATATCCTTAATATGTGTTAGAATGAGACGTTTTTATCTACAGACTCTGCGGTCACCTTCCGTGTAGTCCGCCATGTTGAACCACCATATTTCTACGGTGGCCCAGAAGGGACAAACCCACTGGCTCTAGATAGGACTGTTCGTGTTTTTCGTATTCACTGTAGTTTCTACTTCAAGCTTGGAAGAGGAGGGTGAAGCAAGGGAGTCGCAATCTGCAACTACACCACTTAATGCCACAAAATCCTACACACTGGTCCTTTAAGTAAAAGGCACATGTATAATGCTATTATATAGGAACTATGTAAGTAAAAGGATCTCACCAGTCACTGCGTTGGTGGTCGTCGGCAGGCTCTCCCGCTCATCTTTCACCGCTGTCACACCCATCCCATACTCTGTGCCAGGTCTCAGGCCTGCATAACAAGACAAAATAAAAACACTGTGATGCAGTAATAAAAAGCACTGTCATGCTTTGTTTGTACGGATCCACTGAGGTGTCACCAAATGAACGATGGGGAGGCTCTGTAGTCAAGTGGCCAGCTGTTTGTGCTAATGGCTCCAGTGCCTATGGCAAACACAAAAACACTCTCATGTGGCATAATTGCACAATAGATTGCAGCCTAATTTAATTTCATGGTAAGCCTGTACTCACTGTGGAACATCAGTGTTGTATTTGCATTGATGGATCTATAGGGCCCTTGTCACAGAGCAGAAACACTACTTGCTATGATACAGCGGGCTCTGGAGGCCCTTTGGTCTCTACAATTAAGCCCTCTCTCGGCCTGATCGCCTCTAATTCCTTTATTAACTCCCACAGAGGTCATCACACACAGAGTCTTGCAGCATGAAATTACACCTAATGCCCAGGAAACTCATTATCAATAAAATCACGAGCGTGAAGGCAATTACAGATAATAACTGTGTGAAAGAAGTGCTGAGGTGTGTGCGGAGTGAAGGGGGACGTCCGCTGAATGGACACAGTGCTTATTTCCATGGGATGGGCCTCCCAAGGACAAAGAATTGGGCCAGACAAAGACACTATTAGCCCGTTTTTGGAAGCTTTTTTTTGTTTTTCACGGTGTCTAATCCTGCCATGCCACAGTGTAGAAACAAACAGAAAAAAACACATCCGCCTCAAAGCATGGCTTTATAATGTCAGCAGTTCAGATAGATGAAAATGTGCCCGCTTTCCTTGTTTGAGCAAGATCTCACAGTGAAACAAGCAGCAGTGTTATTCCATTTAAAGTCTGAATGCCAAACCCCCCCCCGGTGGTTTTCTAATAAAGTGGGCCTTTTGTAGACAGGCAAACATTTCACGACACAAAACAAAAGCTACCCATTTTGGAAATGAGCAGGCTGAATATAACACTGACCATTTAACAGGGAGTACAAACACTCAAGAATTAGAAGAATAAACACTCAACACTGAATAATTTTTTTTTTCCCACAGACGCCTCTCAGCTGTGTCATTTGGATGCAAAGTGGTAATGGGATAATGTGAACTAAAAACAGACAAAAGAGTTAAAACACTAAGGGTATATGCTGTGAAACAGCCAACTCCTTTTGCTGAGCAGCGAACTGTATTTGCGATCAGTGCTAGTCTTGTCTTAATTGCTCTGACATGGTGAGTGGGTGCAGGGTCATAAATTAATTAAACTCTTAAAGTTAGTGTGAAATCCCATTTCCCTTGAACTCTCAAACATACCAGTATAAAACATATCTGCCCACTGGTCGTGTATGCTCTCCTAATTAACTGCCTTATAGATAATCAGAAATGTTGTCATCTGAACACAGATTCAATTCTGGAAATCCAAAATTTGGTTGGTGGTTTACTAATCTATTAAAGAGTAAAAAAGTGGTGAAGAGAGAGCTGAGCTTGGAAGGCCAAGCTCTTGATTTACCAGTTGATCTATAGTCCAGCCCTCACCTATGGCCATTAGCTTTGGGTAGTGGTGACCGAAAGAATGATACTGCAGATACGAGAGGCCGATAATAGTTCCCTCCGTATGGTGGCTCAGCCTTAGAGATAGGGTGAGGAGCATCTTGAGGTAGCTCAGAGTAGAGCCTCTGCTCCTTGCATCGAAAAGGAGCGACTTGAGGTGGTTCGGGCATCTGCTCAGGATGCCTCTTGGGCGCTTTCCCTAGGATTTCTGGGCAAGTCCATATAGTCCTTATATATATCATCTGGCCTGGGAACATCTCTGGAGCTGGATGGCGTTGCTCAATAGAGCTGCTTAACCTGCGACCTTAACTGTGACCCGACCCCAGATTACCAGACGATAATGGATGGATGGATGGATGCATTAGATTGTACAGGTGTACCTAATAAAGAAGCCACTTAGTGTACATTTATATAGATATATAACCATGATACATATGTATATTGCTGACAACTGAGTAAAGACTTGGGAAAACTGGTAAAACTGGTGAGTAGACTTTGAGTTGAGGTTACTTGAAAAAAAAACAAACCTGAATGGATGTTTGTGTGTGTGTGTGTGTGTGTGTGTGTGTGTGTGTGTGTGTGTGTGTGTGTGTGTGTGTGTGTGTGTGGCTACAGCAGTACCGCTTATCTTGGCCTGGGTGCTGTCCTTGGGTCCTGGGGGGAAGAGCAACTCTCCATGCTCACCTCCAGAGAGAGGTCCATACTTGATGCGGTAGTTGTTCAGCTGAGCCTGGCTGTTCTTCCACTGAAGAGTGATGCTCTCGTCCGTCAGCTCCACTGTCTGCAGGTCTGTGGGGGCGTCCAGGTCTACAACACAGAAATGGTCTTTAGATAGAGGTAAACTTACCCTGACATAAATTTAACAGTATAGCCCTACATCTTAAGTGGAAGCTAAGACTAACGTTTAGCAATTTTCGTCATTAATACTTGGGAGGATGTTTGGTCCTTCAAAGAACACACACATCCACACATCAGCAGGATGTCCTCCCTTGGCTATAATAAACAGTGCCTGTCTGTCTGTCTGTCTGTCTCTCTCTCTCTCTGTCTCTCTCTCTCTCTCTGTCTCTCTCTCACCCCAACTGGTCGAGACAGACGAGCACCCACCTAGAGCCGAAGGATCTGTCCTAGGTTTCTGCCTTTTAACAGGCAGTTTTTCCTTGCCCCCGTCGCCAAGTGCTTGCTCATGGTGGTGCTGTTGGGTCTCTGTAAATAATGTTATAAGGAGTTCGGTCTAGATCTGCTCTATTTGAAAAGTGTACTGAGATAACTTCTGTTATCAATTGGCCCTATACAAATAAAATTGAATTGAATTGAATTGAATTAATGGCTGTGACTTCTGGAAAGAGGTCTGTAGTAGTTTATATAAAAAATTATGGCAGATCAATATTTTGGCCTAAAAAAACACAGCACATCAAATTGTTATTTTAGTCTAACCTGTGAGGAAATACTCATAGACGGGAATGCTTGTCCGTTCTCCCCGGTGAGCTGTTAGAGACACCTCGTACTGGGTGTCAGGGGTGAGGCCTCCCAGGTGGTACTGGGTGTCAGTGGAGGATAGCTCCACCACATTGCGATCAGCTGGGTTGGAGCTGGGGCTGTAGGAGACAATGACCCCATCCACCTCAGCCACAGGCTGGAACCAGGTCACCAGTGCTGTGGTGTCAGTCACATCGCGCACGTCCACCTGGCTGGGGCCGTCGATCACTGGAGAAGTAAAGGGTGGCATGGTAAAGGCTGTTGAAGGACACTAATTAGCTAAATTTAATCTTTCTATTTGCATCTAGTAGGCAGATATTATTGAGTCTTATGGATAAACGACCCTACTTGTGACTTGATTTATTAGCTCAGTAAACAGTTTCCTAATGTGCTTATAGTCTCAGTCTTCTTTCATACAGCATTATGTTCATTGAGTAAATGATGGTCCCATTTAGAGTGAAATAGACGATAAAGCAGGGTATGCTTTAGGGCGTAGCTACCTTGTGATTGACAGGCCATTCTCAGTGAGTCCGTCCAGCTCAAAGCACCAAACTCAGATCAAAACTAGCTCAATATAGCTAGTTTTGAAAGAAGAGTCATGCTCTAGATAACACAGTCACATAACAGACACAACAGTTCACTTAGAGGTTTGACATAAAAAAGTGGAAATATCTGTAAGATATCTGTACGGTGGCCAACAAGGGCAAGCGGCAAAGCGCTGCAGACCCAGGAATGATGCAAAACCAAAAACAAACAAACACATAAAACAAATGTAACAGAAAAATGCAGCAACAGAAAAATGCTGCAATCACAGAAACAAAGCAGAAGCAAAAACTTACAAACCCACAAAACAAATGCCAAAGAAAAATGCTGCAAATACCAAAAACACATAAAACCCCAAAACAACTGCAAGAGAGAAATGCTGCAAATTCACAAAGCAGGCATTATAAGAAAATGATGGTAGGCCTCTAATGGCTTTCCCATGCATACTTATGTTTATCCTGGCAAAGTGTAGACTATTTTCACACCATAAATAAGCATAGTCCTGACTGTTAGATGGAGCTGCCATTTATTAAACCTAGTGCTAAATGTGTCGCGCCTGTTGAATCTGCTTTGCCTAAACAGAAGTCTCCAAGAGGTAAGCCAGCCAAGTTTGAGTCCAGGTTCAAGTGTCAGCCTGGGAAGCCAGCCACTGAGGCTTACCTTTAAAGAAAATACACATTTAACAACTTCAACAAGAGTGTTCCAAGGTATCCCCAGTCAACACAGCGGTTAGTCTGGCAGATGGCATAAGTCACAATGTAGGGGATCAGTATATAAAATGTAGGGGATCAATATAAAGAATATAGAGAGAGAAAACAGGGTTGTTTTCTATTTTTATATTGATCCCTAGCCCTGAGCTCATCAGGGTGCTACAAGCCATTGAGCTTTATGGCCTGATGGAGCTATGGAGATATCTCATAACTTTCTAGTAGGGTTGGAAATCCATATCTTGTTTTACTACCACTGCTAAATCACAACAAAGCAATGAAATCTAATGAGCTAATCATTCAGGCTGACATGACATGTCGGGTTGTTTTCAATACTCTGTTGGGGGCTGCATGATAGATAACCCCTGATATAGAAACCAATGAACCTATGCAAGGTTTGAAGGTGACAACCTGTTTTTGCATTAATGCTGACAGCTCTAAGTGGCATTTTATTCCATAATAACATCTATTTCTGGGCTGAGAATTTCCTCATTAAAATGCATACAAAATTCCAAAAGAACTGGGGTTAGGCTTATGTTGTGTTTAAGGTTAGGGATCTACTGAATTATGGTAGTGGCACCTTTGTTGTCCAATTCAGGCACTGCACAAATGTGTTTTAAGTACAATGGGTAGGATTAATACCAAGAGGTTGAGATTACAATTATTTGATGTAAGTACGATTAAGTTTTACTATTGGTATCCGTGATGTGCACGGGGGGGTGGGGACAGCGGTAGCCACTCCTCGTGGCCCAATTGTTGAAAAATGCGTGCTAAAGTGCCCTCTTGGGAGCCAAAACGTGTGTTAAAGTGACCTCTTGGGAGCCAAAATGCGTGATAAAGTGCCCTCTACAGTGGTGAGGATGCGCTATATGTGCCCTTTTTTTTCTTTCCGCCCATGCCCTTCAAAAAGTCTGTGCACGCCACTGATTGGTATTAAATTTTTACCTGCTTTTCTAGAATTAATTAATTAGGGGTAATTGTATGAATACATTTACCGTGTTAATAAGGGTCATAAAGGGCAAAGCATGCATCAAGACTGAAGATAGGGCAGACCATCAGTCGAGAACATACCATTTATTTGCAATGTTATGTAGTAAAGTCTTCTGAAGATTTCCACTACAAACTATTCAATAAACAGAATTTAATTCTTCCGCGAGGCAACACTGCACAATATACTTATTTTTTAATGTAGTTTAACTAATGCAGTGGACGTTATGTTAGAGAACCATTGCAAATTGAGTATATATATATATATATGTACACCCAATGGTGGATTGAAAAAAAAGGGCACCAGCATGCCGTTATAATGCATTTATGGTGAAACAATTTAACACCCTAGAAGGCACTTTACCACATTTCGTCCAGTGGATGGGCACCCTAGAGGGCACTTTATCATGTTTTATCTACCAAAGTCCCCCCCCCCCAGTCCACCAGTGTATACACCCTGCTGTACTATAACCATACTTGTAAGCCTACAACAAAAGAATGATTAATAGTGTCAATGTGTACACTCACTTGTGACAACGTTCTTGGAAGCAGGCGGTCCACGCTTGTTGTTTTTCACCACCTCCAGTTTGACCTCATACTCCTGGCCAGGGCCCAAGCCTGACTGCTCAAAGGTGGTCTCTGGACGGCCGAGGGAGTTCAGAATCTCGCCATCCTCCTCTTTCTGCAAGAACCAAAAAACACCAGTCATCAACCACTACAAAGACTAGCCATGGCATAATGCAGGAGTGGGAGAGGAAAAAAACTGCCAAATCATATATAAGCATTCAAGAAGGAAAATAAAGGGTCATTGGTTTTAACTGCTATGTTTTTGCATTCTGGCCTGACTGAACCATTTTTCACAGGATAATGATCCTCATGTAGGCAATTACTGGATTTGAAGTAGGGGGTCTGCAGTGGGTCATATGTGGTTTCTACCAGAGGAAAATGTGGATAATAGTAGAGGCTGTGGTACAGTCTAGAGTTCAACCACCTCCTAGAATACAGATCTTTTAACATATTGGGTAGCAGGACTCACTGTGTTTCTGAAGATGAGGTTCCAGCCATCGAAGGGAATGTCCAATGGGTCCCACTGTACCTCCACTGACGTCTCCCGCACAGACTTGAACTTGAGTCCCTCAGGCTCAGGCAGATCTGGGAGACATAGAACAAAACTTATACTCTATACTTAGATTTATACTCTGTATTTAGTAAACTGCCACAGAGAGGACTGACATACGTGTAGCCACCCTAGCACTGACAGGAACACTCCTCTTGTTGCTGAGCACAGCATGGACGCTGATCAGGTACTCTATGCCAGGCTCAAGCTCCCGAATAGTGGCCGTCTTCTGGTCTCCAGGCACCTGCATGTCCAGCTCCAGACCTCCAGAGGCAGTGGGTACGTATGTGATCAAGTACTCGTTCACACGCATCTCATTCTCCCAGGACAGGTCCACCGTCTCTGGAGTGACCTCCACCACTGTTAGGTCCTTGGGTGGTGAGACTGTGGAGAGACACAGAAAATCAGTGATTTGTATTGAAGGTTTTAAAAGTGCAGTAGGTAACGTTTATGAAAATAACTTTTTGTCATGTTTCGCTCATGGAAGTAGTACATGAGACTGATAATCTGTGAAAAAATCAGGTTCCTCTGGCTCCTCCTAATGCTCCTAATGGCATTTGTAAGAAAGAATCCAGCAGGCCTGAACGAAAACAACAAATCAGAGTCAAGAAACATAGTTTTGTGTCTCATTCCTCAAACAGAAATTCCCGTCATATACTGACATGGAGAATGAGACTTAATAAGTGTCTTTATATGCTTCTCAGCTCTGATTAGTTGTTTTCATTCAGGCCTGGTCGATTCTTGCAAATACCATTAGGAGCGCAATGAGGAGCATTGTGTCATGTACTACTTTAACATTTTAGATTTTAGTGCTGCATTTGACACCATTGACCATCATTTTCTATTACAGAGACTTGAGCATCTAATTGGCATTAAAGGAACCGCACTAAGCTGGTTAAGTCTTATTTATCAGATGGATCTCAGTAGGTACATGTTAACGATGTTAATACTCCATAAACGCTAAAGTTAGTCATGAAGTTCCACAAGGTTCTGTGCTTGGATCAATTGTGTTCACCTTATATATGCTTCCCTTAGGCAACATTATTAGGAATCACTCCATTAACTTACATTGTTATGCAGATGATACCCAGTTATATGTATCAATCAAGCCTGATGAAATAAATCAATTATCTAAATTACGAGTACTATTGAAAATTGAAATGAATACCGACAGGAACTAGTAAAAGAGATCATATTTCTCCTGTATTAGCTTTTCTGCACTGGCTCGCTGTAAAATTTAGAAAAGAATTTAAACCTACTCTTCATGGTCAGGCCCCTTAATATTTTACAGAGCTCATAGTTCCCTATTACCCCACTAGAACACTGCGCTCTCTGAATGCAGGGCTACTGCTGGTTCCTATAGTCTCTAAAAGTAGAACAGGAGCCAGTGCCTTCAGCTACCAAGCACCTCTCCTGTGGAACCAGCTTCCAGTTTGGGTTTGGGAGGCACAACTCAACATATTTAAGAGTAGGCTTAAGTGTTTCTCTTTGATGAAGCTTATAGTTAGGGCTGGCTCAGGTGAGCCCTGAACCATCCCTTAGTTATGCTGCTATAGGCCTAGACTGTCAGGATGCACTGAGCTCCTCTCTTTCTCTCCCTCTCTTTTTGCACACATTCAGATGAGATGAAGAAGAAGATATATACTTTATTAATCCCCTATTGAGGAAATTCTTCTTTTCACTCTTTTTTATTCTTACACACACACAGGCTAAAATACACACTTCATGCAACAGGGAGAGAGATGGTGGAGTGATGGGCTCGCCACGTTAGCGGCGCCCATGAGCAGTTTCTTGGGGTTAGGTTGCCTTGCTCAAGGGCACCTCGGCAGTGCACTCGCTGATTCGTCATCATCTTCTTCATGTTTATCATCATCAGTCACTACTATTAGTGTAGTTGTTACTACTGTTGTTGCAACTGTCTGTCTCTGTCTCTGTCTCTCTCTCTCTGTCTCTCTCTCTCTCTCTCTCTCTCTCTCTCTCTCTCTCACCCCAACTGGTTGAGACAGACGACCACCCACCTAGAGCCAAAGGATCTGTCCTAGGTTTCTGCCTCTTAACAGGCAGTTTTTCTTTGCCCCCTCGCCAAGTGCTTGCTCATGATGGTACTGTTGGGTCTCTGTAAATGTTATAAGGAGTTCAGTCTAGACCTGCTCTATTTAAAAAGTGTCCTGAGATAACTTCTGTTATGAATTGGCGCTATACAAATAAAATTGAATTGAATTGAATTGAATTGATTAAAATTAGGAGGGCCGATATTATCGGGCGATTTTCACGAAAAAATGTAACATCGGGAATTATCGGTATCGGGTTTTTATAACCGATGTTTGTTCTCTAGGCTTCAGCATTTCCGAGCCTGCATGAACGCAGCATGGGACGTTTACCGGTGCGCGCTAGATGACGTATAACAACAACAACTACTAGACTGCTTGGTTGCTAACCGTGGCTAACAAGCAAACAATTTAGAGCTGAATGATTTTAATATTAACACAAAATAAGTGCAATGCACCTTAATGCACCTTTATCTATCCAGATAAAAACATTAAGAACAGTTTCTGTATGATGTTTATTAGACCTATGTAATCTGAATTGGAAGGGCACGTTGTCATGAGCTGTATCTTGTATATTTATTATTAGCTATGTGGTATGTGTATGCACCTTTATGTAATCTGGTGGAAAAACATTAAAATTTCAAACCGGATCATACCAAACAAATATCTGCTTGCCACAATAAAATTAGGCATAATGTGTTAATTCAACAATAGGAAATATGTTATGTTGTTACCTAACAGTTTTGGTGTAAAAACCCTGCATATATCGGTATCGGGTGATATCGGTATCGGAAATTGAGAGTTTGACAATATCGGAATATCGGATATCGGCAGAAAAGCCAATATCGAGCATCCCTACTTAAAACTGATCAATAACATGGAATAGAAAAATAGTAAAAATGTAGAAATATGAATATTTGTAAATTTGAAATCGTTCCTAGAATATATACATATATGTCATTGTAAAGAAATTTTCTGAAAAGGCTCCATCTGATGATGGTGATTATATCCAACATGTTCTCATCCCAATTGCCAAATTTACAGAAGCACAAGGTACCCTATAGAATCTGTGTGAGACACCTTTTTAATATGTGGTTAACGTTGTGAAACCTATAGTCTGGTTAAGTGTAGACAACAAAACTAATTGGTTAGGTTTCAGAAAACATCATCATCTGAGTTAAAATATGTACATTATTAAGTGAGTGCAGGAGATGGTCCTTGGTCCAAGGCAAGTGACTGACCATAAGCTAGTGGTAATCAAAAACCAGACAATCACCCAGTTGAGCTTTGAGGTATGAGGATAATAGGGAATAGGGAATCATCATCATTATGAAACAAACAGCATTGTTGACCCTTAACATCCCCTCTTCTCTGAATACGAAACTCTGCCATCAAGACTCCGTGTGCCAATGTATAAATCAAACAGACCGAAGTTATCGTATAGGGGCGGTTGTGGCTCAGAGGAAGAGCGGGTCGTCCACTAATCGGAAGGTTGTTGGTTGGATCCCCTGCTACTCCTACCACATGTCAAAGTATCCTTGAGCAAGATACTGAACCCTGAATTGCTTGTGATGCTGTACATCGGTGTGTGATTGTGTAAGAATCAGTTAGTTACCGTTTGATGGGCTTTGCCATCACTGAATGAATGTGTGTGTAAGGGTGAATGTGGCATGTAGTGTAAAAGCGCTTTGAGTGGTCGGAAGACTAGAAAGGCGCTAACAAGTACAGTCCATTTACCATTTACCATTGTTCATCCCAACTTCTATCAAGCTGCTGAGCTCTAATAATAAAATATAGTGCAATAGGGCAATGTGTAATAACAAACCAGAACCTCAATTTAATTTTTATAGTATACAGTATATAGTATAACTCTTTTTAAGCTTCCGTATTGTCAGTGTTAAAATGTATAGTGTCTTTCATGTTTTAAGATGTTTCATGTTGATTTTGTGATGGTTTTCTGATGTATGTTTGTTTTTGTGACTGTAGCACTCTGCCCAAGACAAATCTCTCCTTGGGGATAATAAAGTTTATCCTATTCTATAGTATGTGAAACAAGTGATAAATCATAAAACTTTGAGTGATTTTTGGTTTCTTTCTATTTTCTGGGTGTAAGGCCTGTGTTTGTTTGACCCATTCTTGCACCTCCTTACATGGACTTTCTTGTTCTTTAGACTACGTCACCTGATAGGATGCGTTACATTAGAGTTAGATGACAGCCCACTGCGTCTCAAACAGACACTAAAGTGTACCTTGTGCATCTGAAACACCAAGGGAGGTATTTCACGCCCTGGGAATTAAACTGGTATGTCTGTAGAAGAGAAAAAAACAAGTGGAACTCCACAATTTCATATTTTACGGTCACACATGGTTTGTGATGTAGAAAAGGCTCACTGTAAGAATTAATATAAGTTAGGTAGTAATATAAGTTAATAGTTACAAATACACAGGGAATTATGCAGTTTCTTACAGCTCTACAAAATATTTTTTGCCTCTTTTAGCTAATTTTTTTGTTTTTTACAGCTGGGAACTTTTATTTAGTTATTTAGTTATTTAGACCCTGCATACAATATGTATACAGGGTCTATCTTACCCTCTGAGCAAGTCTCACCAACGAAGCCCTCATCACAAACGCATACTCCGTCCTCGCAGCGTCCCTGGTTCTGGCAGTTGTCTGGGCAGGTCAGTATGGAGCAGTCGGGGCCGGTGAAACCTTCATAACACATGCAGTTGCCATCGATGCAGTAACCTCTATCAAGACAGTTCTTGGGACACGTCTTCTCGCTGCAGTCCTCACCAGAGAAACCCTTATGACAAACACACTGTCCGTTGACACATTGACCACGGTCCAGACAGTCATTGGGGCAGGTCAGGTCACCGCAGTCTTTCCCCTTGAAGCCGACGAAGCACACGCACTTGCCGTCCACACACTCTCCACGTCCCATGCAGTCTTTTGGACAGGTCTTGATGCTGCAGTCCTCCCCAGCATAGCCTTTGTCACATATGCACTGTCCATTAACGCAGCGGCCATGGTCTTGGCAGTTGTTAGGGCAGGTGAGCTCGCTACAATCTTCGCCTTGGTATCCTTCGTCGCATACACATTCTCCATTAATGCACTGTCCCCTGTTGCTGCAGTTGTCTGGGCAGGAGAGGATGGAGCAATCTTCACCTTCAAATCCTGGATCACAGATGCACTTTCCATTGAAGCAATGGCCTCTCTCATTGCAGTTCTTGGGACAAGTGAGCTTCGAGCAATCCTCTCCGCTGTAGCCGGTCTGGCACACACACTGGCCATTCACGCACAAGCCACGGTTGTTACAGTTGCCAGGACAAGTGAGCTCGCCGCAGTCTTCACCCGTGTAGCCCTCTTCACAGTAACAGGTGCCATTGATGCAGCGTCCACGGTCATAGCAGTCGTTTGGACAGATGAGTTCGGAGCAGTCGAATCCCGTCCATGGCTCATTGCAAACACACTCATCGTCCATGCAACGTCCGCGACCCAGGCAGTTGTTGAGGCAGTTGGTCTGGGTGCAGTCCTCACCGATGAAGCCCTCCTCACAGAGACAGGACCCGTCTACACATTGGCCATAGTCACCACAGTCCATCAGGCAGAGCTCAATACCGCAGTCATCCCCACCAAAGCCCTCAAAGCACTCACATTTGCCATCCACACAGCGGCCCTGGTCTTGGCAGTCATTTGGGCACTCGGGTTCGGTGCAGTTGGGGCCTTTCCATCCAGGCTCACATATACAGCTGCAGGTGTCAGTGCTCCAGTTCCCACGGCCATTACAGTAGGGCTTTGTAGACACTTCACCTGGAGGAAGCCAAGAAAGAAAGTTGTAGTAGTAGGCTTCCACTATTGTCATGTGGTATTGCGGTTACCACAAACTCTCTTCTGCGGTGCATGTATAGATGCCCTGACAACCCATAACTAACAGTCAAGGCTTTGCTTAAAGGCTTTGCATTGACAATGCTATGTAATTCAAGTTATGACAGATGACAAACAGTAAGAAAAATGTAGACACCTTGAAAAGGATCATAAGAATTTGGCCATTGTTTTGCATTAAAAACTTTGTCGACAGTGGATTCTGATAAATCAGTTGTCAAGTCCTTTCATGCAGAAACAGCACGTAACTGCATCAACATTTGACAATATTGTAACTGACACTATAATAAATAAATTTAATAAATAATATGACAAAATCTTCACAGTATTATATTAGCTATCTCAATCATGTAATCCATGCTTAGGAAAGGTGATGGTAGGAATGTAAAATATAGACAATTTCTGGTTCATGGGCTGAAAGATGCAAAGGCATTGCTATGGTCTTTTAGAAATGATTGCCTAGGGCATGACCTCTGACATGAGCACTTCAGAAATAGATTTCACTTGAGTTCAGTACAGGTCTAGTCAACTACAAACACACTGACATTAATTACAGTACAAGAGCCATACAGTGAAAGGTATAGAATTACCTGTAACTTGAGCTCCACAGCAGCCTGCCCCACTGCTGCACTGCTCTCTCAGACTAGACAGCTCTGACTCCAGCATCTCCAGCCTGTTCAGGATATCCTTGATGTCCGGCAGCTGGTTGTCGCAGCCACACGCCTGCTTAGGGATACTGATGCGGTGTGTGAAAACAATCTGATTGTCGCCGTCCTCCGTGTGCTCCATGTGCTCGGTGTTCTGCATGTCCATTGGGGCGCTCTTGTGTTTGAGCTCGGTGCCTCCGGGCGAGTCGATGTCCACGGAGCAGAGGGACGTGGAGGGGACGTTGATGTTGTAGACGTGGTTAAACACTACTGGCTGGTCAGGGTGGGGCAGGGTGAGGTTCTCCTGGGTTTTCTTAGGCATTAGAGCCTCTCTACGGTGGCGGATTATCTTCTTGACCAGGCCGGCGGTGGAGAGCTCAAGAAGCAGGGCCACAGTCACGCAGCCTAAGAGGAAGCTTTTCATCTCCATGATGATGCCCTAGCACTGCAGCTTCTGTGGAAGTAGCAGCTGAGTGCAGAATAAAGTCTACTATCAAATAGTTGTTCTTCTCCTAGAATAAAAGAAAGTACAGACAGAAGGGGACATTTTGTGAATTTACCTTCCAGGCACATAACTTTCTCACATAGTTCAGCACAGAGCAATAGCTGTTGGATATTCACTTTTCTGGTTTGTCCTTGCCTTTCGGGATATAGTCATTAACATAGACCCACCACACACACATACATCCACACTGGGGACCATAGCTGGACTGAAATATTATAGTATCCCACTAAAAAGCAATTAACCTTCTTCTGTTGCCCCTAACAAAAGACCACTTCCAATCCTGTTGCTGGCTCTGACCCATTTAGCACCTCTGCTCTCAGTGGAGGAGCCGACACTTAGCGGATGACATTGGGGCATTCTTTTTCACAATTCCTCTGAGGACCAAGAGCAGCAATTACTACAGTCGCACACCACGACCTTGGGCATTTGGAGCTTTCTTTTTGTGACCATTTTGAGACAGGTTGCCACAAACAGCACAGCAACACCTGCATGGTGGGGAGCTTCGTCTTTGCTCTGCAGTCCAGACCACCACCCAAGCTGACAGATTAATACCGGTGTATGGTTAGAATATCTTTGGGCTTCTTGTAAAGCACGGAGGTCTGCACAAACTTCTCCTGCTACCAGCAAACCGGCAGGTCAGCATTTCCAGACCTCTCTGCTGACAGCTATTGGGTTTTCTTTTATTTCTGTAACACAAATCTTATTGCTTTCACTGACCGCTTCTGAGACATGATTCTTTTAAAAGGTCTGCTGAAAAAAATGTGCTGAGGTTGTGGAAACCTTGAAACAAACTTTAAGCAACCTTTTTCTCACTCTTTGACCTTAGAATTAAATTAAATTAAATATACACATTGATAAGAGGTATGCCTTTGCTGCATGCATGTCTGGTCTGTTACAGCTAACATTAGCTGTTATTTATGTAAAATAGAGGACTGGTGGAAAAAGCTTTCTGTTTCTCTAATAATCAGGTTTCCAGTTATTTATATGCTGAAAGTGCCTGGAAGGGGGAACAAAATCCTGAATATATTCTGTGCATGGTAATACACTTCCTGTTCTGTGTTTGGTTCAGTCTCAGTTTATATAATTTTACTTTTCACCACACCTTGTTAGAGATGCTGACACCGATCATTTCCTACCTTGAATAAAACCACTGTGTGCTTGCTCAAAAGGTTAATAGCAGCTGTTAGCACATACTATCACAGACAGATGCAGAAAAACTAATCCATGCATTTGTTACTTCAAGGCTGGATTACTGCAACTCTTTAATATCAGGTTGCCCCAATAAGTCCATTAAAACGCTCCAATTAATTCAGAATGCTGCAGCACGAGTACTGACAGGAACTAGAAAAAGAGATCACATCTCTCCTGTACTAGCTACTCTGCATTGGCTCCCTGTAAAATGTAGAATTTAATTTAAAATCCTCCTCCTCACCTATAAAGCTCTTCATGGTCAGGCCCCTTCATATCTTAAAGAGCTCATAGTACCCTATTACCCCACTAGAACACTACGTTCTCTGAATGCTGGGCTACTTGTGGTTCCTATAGTCTCTAAAAGTAGAACAGGAGCCAGAGCCTTCAGTTACCAAGCTCCTCTCCTGTGGAACCAGCTTCCAGTTGTGGTTCGGGAGGCAGACACCCTCACCACATTCAAGAGTAGGCTTAAGACATTCCTCTTTGATAAAGCTTATAGTTAGGGCTGGATCAGGTGAGTCCTGAACCATCCCTTAGTTATGCTGCTATAGGCCTAGACTATCGGGGGATTTCCCATGGTGCACTGAGCTACTCTCTTCCTCTCTCTTTCTGCACTCATTCATGTCCCATTAATGCATGTTACTAACTCCACTTCTTCCCCAGAGTTCTTGTGCTTTCTCGTCTCGCAGGTTCTCATGGATCCTGGTGGAGCCTCCTGCCATGGTCCTGCTTGACTGCCATTGCCAATACTGTTGTTGCTGTGCACCTGTCTGTCTGTCTGTCTCTCACTCTCTCTCTCTCTCTGCCTCTCTCTCTCTCTCTCTCTCTCTCTCTCTCTCTCTCTCTCACCCCAACTGGTCGAGACAGACGACCACCCACCTAGAGCCGGAGGATCTGTCCTAGGTTTCTGCCTTTTAACAGGCAGTTTTTCCTTGCCCTTGTCGCCAAGTGCTTGCTCATGGTGGTACTGTTGGGTCTCTGTAATTAATGTTAAAGAGTTCGGTCTAGACCTGCTCTATTTGAAAAGTGTCCTGAGATAACTTCTGTTATGAATTGGCGCTATACAAATAAAATTGAATTGAATTGAATTGAATTGAATTGAATTGAACATGAAAATGTCTGGGTAGCAGACATGAAAATGCATGATTGCAGGCATAAATATGGTATTCCAACCCTGTGGTGGAATATGAATGAAGGGGTTTTCATTTTCTCTTCATCCACATTAGTCGCACTGATGTGGATGGAGTAAAACACAGGGCACCTTTGCTGGCCAGTTTCATGTGTGCAGGGACAGGGAGCCTGACAGTTAGCATGTAATATTCCAGAGAGAGGTGCTTGGTCTCCTCATCCCAGCCTGACGTTTGATTAGGCAAACTGACAGATGAGCTCAGCTTGGAGGGATCCTACGGCTTAACCCCCAAGCCCTCCCAAGCCCCCTGATTAGACAGACAGGGATGAGTGCCTCCATGATAGGTAGACTGCAAAAACGCTAATGTAGCTTGCTGATGGGAGTGCTAAAAAAACCCCCACCCCAGCCCTGTTCCTCCAATACAGTCACACTGCTGTGCCCAAGCATCACAAACTAGGGATTAAATCAACAAAATAGCCAGAAAATTGCTTTGAGTTGCTGCTAAGGTTTTAGTTCTGGGCGGATGGTTGGCTTTCTCACTTTGAAGGCTGGCTGCTCTCCACATGGACCTCTGAGCGAGGCAACCCTGAGAGACGAAAGCAGGCTTTGTGTGAAAATCTGTGGTTCTGGCAAAACTCGGCTTTATTCAGGAATAGATGAAGAGAAGAGACTTCCACAGAGTCCGACAAAACTTCTGATTTGGCCTTTTCTCCTCTTAGCTGCCATCTACTACTCTTTAATATGAAGCAGAACAATCACAATAAGAGAATTTGAGTGTGACCCTGAGAAACACAGCCGATCCCTCTGGTTGGACTTCCTTCACGAGCACCCTCTGGCCCTGGCACTATGCTAATGCAGCTGGTTGCTGGCACTATAGACATGGAATTGATACAGTCTGACTGCTGCTGCTTTGTTATTCCCTCACTTGGTTTTGCTCTATAGTTAGCTTCTCAAACAGAAACAAAGCGTGTTGCCTGCCTTGTGGTCAAATGTGAGGAGGATTTTACCAGGGAAAACCTGCTGGCACACACACATTTGGTGCAACTTATCTAAATTACCCTGTTGTGAATGAGAGCTAATGAAACACTTGAAGTTTTATACCTCACACAGTGGAGAGCTGGAAATGTTTTAAAGGTTCAGTTGGGGTCCATTTCAAAAGTGATTAGGTCTCTCACTGTCAGGAATGTTAAATTCATTTTACGGTATGGTTGTTTTAGGATTAAAGTAAAGGGATGTGCCAATCAAACAGCCAACACTAAACCTTAGCCCTGACCCTACCCCTAACCTAATCTAACCCTAAACGGGTGAAGCATATCCTAGCTTTAGGATCTTTTCAGACAAGGAGCAATTGACACACTTCGTAATTTATCTCCAATGTGAGGTAAGAAGTCAGGTTGGGAGGCGTAGACAATCTGACAGGCAGAGCAAAATATGTTCGTGATCGTGATCATCTCACACACACACACAACCGTGCGTTGCTGGAATTGAATTTGCTTGAACTTTTTGCCATGCAACGCAGAGTACTGTCCTTGTCCCTTGCTGTTTGTGAGTTTCCTAAACTATACAACTATTTTTAAACAGTTATCGGGACATTAACAGGAGGGAATCCCCATCCCATTGCAGAGTATCAACGCAAGACTGGATGTATGGGGTAACGTCAGTTTTAATTTAAGCCAGGCTGTCAACAATAGTCTGGTTGGCAACCAGAGACTATTGTTGACACATACAACTAAAATTCACGTCAGTTGTACCCACAAATAACCTTGCGAGGCAGTGGGAAAATCACACCAGAATCCATCTAGCCAGCCTACAATCTATGCATTTGTGGGCAGAGGCACCGGACCAATCAGCATCCTTTAAGGAAGTGTTGGCAGTGACGTGGGTGGGTGCTATGAGTGACACAGCAAGAAGACACTATTTGTTAAACAATAATGGTAGTTCCCATAGAGGTCAGCGTTGATGCTGCTGAAATTTGCCTATGATAGACAGATTGTTCATCCAATCACCTGCTAAGTAGTGCCTGCAGTTTCCAACAATGACTTTCCAGATGGCTCTGTATAACAAACTATCTGGTGCGGTCAGGTTAATGCAAAGCCTCCTTAACAATAGTTGATACTTCATGTCTACAGACCAGAAGAAACAGCCAAAGAGTTTAGAATTTACAATCCACATAAGTGCCTGTTCGCATAAGTCTTCTCGTACATCCCTGACTTTCCCATTAGTGTAATGTAAAAAACAGAACCTGTAACTTCCTCCTATCTTGCAAGAACAAGCGTTTTCAGCATGTCCCAAGGTGCTGCTTCTTGTTTCGCTTCCATGTTGAGAAAGTCTAGAGCCCTAATCCTTGGTTAAATCAAGAGAATGCATTTATTTCACACAAAGGAGAACCAAGGGGATCAAGATAAGAGTAAAACCAGTACAGTCTAGTCAGCACAAATCCCCATAAACTACTGAATACCTCAAGACCAACCTGGCATGCAAAGATTTGTCTAGTGGACTATCACTTAGCATTGATTTTTCATTTGGATAGTGCTGTTTCAATGGAAATAAATAAATCCCCGGTGGATGATTACTTTACCAGTGTTCCTTTCCTCCTCCTTTCCTCCTACCGTCTTTTAGACACAAGTTTTACTTTCAGTTGGTTGCAAGATTGATGAGCAGACTTTCTGTCTGGGGAGGATTTCAGA